GCAATAAAAGCAAGTATGTTATATACACAATCTTACAATAACAGTGACCTACAGGTAGAAGCATGAATAGATATGCAGGCTGTATGGGTGTGGGAGAGAGAGTCGGAGTATATCATTTGCTTTAAAAATATCCATGAATGTGGTGGAGAATATGAGGGGCAAAATTATGAAAACTTCTTAGATGTAACCAAACACATTGAGGGAGTGAGCTTTTAAGCCTGGGCACTCAGGTCCACAGTCTCAGGGGACACCAAGGTCAAATCGCATAACATTGTCCACAGAGACAATGTTGTACAGCCTATTTTGGTAAATGGTGACTGGGATCTTGGAAGCTTGAAAGCAGCCATCTAAGGTGCAACTGCTGATCTCTCTCCCTGTCCCGAGGAAAGAAGAGTGATGAAAATTGAAGACACATGGAAACAATTAGTACAATGGACTAATGAACTACATGGACATTAGTCACCAGGATCATGAGAACAGAAGAACTAGGTGGTGCACCCCGCTACCACTACCAATTCCTAGGAATCACATTGACATGTTCTGGATAGAATGGGAGAAAAGTGTGGAAGAAAATTCAAAATCATAAAAAAGACCAGGTTGACTGGTTAGATAGAGAATGGTGGAACCCCTGAGACTAAGGCCCTTAGTCACCCCTCAGTCTGGGATGGAACACACCTCCATGGCTCAGTTGTCAGCCATATCTAAGTCTTTAAAAGAAGAATAACACTAGTGAGATATGTGCACCTTAAAATAACCAACATTTAAGATCAGAGGGGCAGTATTCACCTAATGACAATGTTCAGAAAGATTAGGAAAGGAGGAGGAACAGAAATAGGAAACATTGGGGAAAAGTTGGATAAATTGGTGTTATACAATGAAGATTACAATTAATGAGATGAAACAAAATGTGTATATGGTTGCATGTGAAACTGATGATCTGCACTGTAAACCTTAAGGAAATTCACACAAAAAAATCTACGGAAGAAAAAAAAGACAACTCAATTTTACAAATAGGTAAAGAATCTGAATATACAGTTCTCCATACAAAATATACAAATGACAAATAAGCACCAACATAACATGAGTCATTAAAAAGAAAAAAGTTCTGGAGATAGTTAAGAGAGTTTTCCACATAGTGAATGTAATTAATGCCACTGAATTGTACACTTTAAAATGCTTAAATGGCAAACTTTTGCATTAGGTATTAGATATCTTTTATCACAATAAATAAAATGCTAAAACAAAAAAGAAAGAAACTGGTAGATTTCAAAGTGGAAGGATATGAAGACTACAAGTTACAAAATAAATCTCAGAAAAACTTACTGAAGTAGACTAGAGCTATCTACCAGGTATGCGAGACAAGCGGGGACAGACTGTCTGTGAGGACAAAATGGGTGAACCCATCACCAGTAGATGTTCTATTTCCCCACTGGGCCATAAGGTTGGTTTGAACCACAAGGTCAACGGTTCAAACTCACCAGCTACTCCTTGCATATCCTAGACAGGGTTGCTATGTGTCAGAATTGACTCCATGGCACTCAACAACAATACGTCCCCTCTAAGCTCTGATATTTTCATTACCGTGTTGTTAAGGGTCTTTGAGTCATTTCTGACTCATACCAGCCCTGCATAGGGTTTCCAAAGAGCAGCAACTCTAAAAAGATCCTTTATTCTAAAGATCCATTTCTTTTTTTCTAATTTTTAAAACCCTTCCACTATGCCCTATGGAACTCAATAACCAGCGCGGCAGCAAAGTCTCCTTTATCATCCCTCATCTAGGTCTCCAAATGCTTCCTAATACAAATCTGGTTGTCCTCTCAGGGCATAGTTCTCCCTGTAGCCCTCTCAAGTTTCACTGGATCTGGAGGTCTGATAGGTGGTGTCTTTGTTCTTCATTGCCATTTTCAGAATTCCATGTCAACAGATTTATCTTCACTGGTCTTCCTTTTCTCCTCATCTCTAACCCTTGGGATATTCTGTCTTATTTCTTCAAGAGTTTATCTTCTAGTTTACTGTCATTCTCTAACACCTATTCTATTTTAATTATTATTTATTTCATTATCCATACAGTAATAAATGTCTCTTCTAATACAATGACCTCTTGGTTCATCCCCTCCAATAGCCTTAATTGTCCATCCTACCTTCGCTATCCTAACCTAGCCATTCACTCCCATGATCCTTGTCATTTCCAATAACTACAATCTTGCCATAATCTTAGTGGCAAGTATGTTGCTCGCACACTGCTATTCTCTTCCTCATATTGTGGTTTTTAAAATATCTGTAATTCTTGATTAAATATAATGCTGGTCCCTTACCCAAACTAGTTTTATAATTCACTGATCCAATCACCCTTTTTTCACTATTTCTCTTTTCCTCTATGTCCTCACCTTTCTTTTTTGCCTATTTTAAATTCCATGGTCAAACATTAAAACCACTCCCTAGTTCCATTCACTTTGTAGTTAATGTTTAACAAAATCACAATCCTGACACAACTCTGTATGTCCTCTACAACTGCATCCACGGTGCTGAATATGGCAGAAAAAAACCATATTCACCCCAACTGGGCTCATTTAAAACTCATGAATGCAGACCTCAAATGTGTGCTTAATGCTGCCTGGCAATCCCATGACACTGCCCTGATCCATCCACTTTCCCACAGTTCTAGCCCATGGCCAGAAAACTACAGCCACACTCATTCATTTGTGTATTGTCTGGAGCTGCTTTCACACTACAGTGGCACAGGGGAGTAATTACTGCAGAGAAATTATGGTCCACAAAATCTAACTATCTGGTCCTTTATAGAAAAAGTTTGCCACCCCCACCCTGATGAAAATCAAAGACCACAGCTTTCAATGTTGGCTTCAACTCAATGTAAAGAAAACAAAAATCCTCACTACTAGACCAATAAAGAACATCAGGATAAGAGGAGATAAGATTAAGTTGTCAAAGACTTCCCTTAGATTGGATCTACAATCAGCACTCATGGAAGCAGCAGTCAGGAAATCAAATGAAGTATTGCACTAGGCATATCTGCTGCACAAGATCTCTTTAGTGCTCAAGAACAAAGATATCAGTTTGAGGACTAAGGTGCACCTAACCCAAACCTTGGTATTTTCAATAACCTCATATGCATGTGAAAGTTGGACAATGAGTAAGGAAAGCCGTAGAAGAACTGATGTATTTGAATTCTGATGTTGGAGGACACTGAAAGTACCATGGACTGCCAGAAAAACAAACAAATCTGTGTTGGGATAAATACAGCCAGAATGCTCTTTAGAAGCCAGGATGGCCAGACTTGCTCTCTCATACTTTGGACACATTATTAGGAGGCATTAGTCCTTAGAGAAGTGGAGTCCTGGTGTGGTGCTGTGGGTTAATGTGCTGGACTGCAAAGCCAGTTTGAACTGCAAGGTCAGTGGTTCAAACCACCAGCTGCTCCTCAAAAACCTTATACAAGGTCACTATGGGTCAGAATTGACTTGATAGTACTTAATAACAACAACAAAGTCCTTAGAGAAGAACATCGTGTTTGTTAAAGTGAAGGGGCAGTGAAAATGAGGAAGACCCCCAACGAGATGGAATTGGCACAGTAGCAGCAGCAATGGGCTCAAGTGTAACAACCATTTTGAAGATGGCGCAAGGCTAAGCGGTATTTCATTCTGTTGTGTACAGGGGTCGCTATGAGTCAGTGCCGACTCGATGACACCTAACAACAATCCTAGACAGCTATTTCATACTTCTCTCTTTTCATATATTACTGCCATCTCCATCTTTACTCTCACCTTCTTTCCTACTTTACCAAGAAGTCTTTAAATAAGAAAGTCACTTGTATAAGCTTCCACCATCACATCTACCCACCTACCATAACTTCTACTCAAAAATCCTGATTTCCTTTCAACACAAACAAACTCTTCCTGTACCCATGACCAATGCTTCTATTTGTAACTAGATCCTGGCTCCTCTGGCTTACTCAAAGACTTGTTTTTCAGTGCCATCAAGTCAGTTCCGACTCATAGCAACCCTATAAAGCATTTGGTGATTCAATCTTGTGATTCAAACCAACCTTACAGTCTAGTGCTTTATCCCACAGACAGCGCCACACCAGAACTCAAGACTAAGCTCCAGTAATTCACCCTCTGACATGTTCATTTTGTTTGGCTCTCTAGTTGATTATTCCCATTTATTTTCAAGCATGTTTGCATTTCCTATCTTGAATATAGAGGGCAAATAATTCTCAGGACCCCAGCTCCATCTTTCACTTATAGCTCCATTCTTTACTCCCCGTCTTTTGCAGGAAATTATCAAGAGCTATTTTTACTCACTAATGCCTTTCTCCCATTCTCTCAAATCCATTACAGTTAAGATTTTGAACCTACCACTCCCTAAAATCTGTTTTAAGATCACTTGTGCCTTCCTCATTGCTGAATTTAACAGTCAGGTCTCACACCTTACCTTGATCTGTCTGCAGTATGTGACACAAATGAAGACCTCCTCTCTCTTGGAAACTTTCTTCATTTGGCCCCCAAATGCCACACCATGATGAATTTCTTGCTACTTCAGTTGGCCACTTCCATACCAGTCTGCTTTTCTGGTTTATTTCCATCTGCCCAATCTTTAAATTGGAAGCCGCAAGGGCTCAATCCTTGGACCTGGTCTTTTCTAAATATAAGCACTTTCTTAGTGATCTCATCCAGTCTCATACTTAATATATAATCTTTAAGTTGATGGCTTCCAAATTTATATTCCTAGCTCAGGCCTGTCTCTTTAACTCTAGCTACCTATATCCAGCTGGCTATATGACTGCTACCATTATGAACATTAAATTTTGCATGAAAGAAGAATATTGGAAAAATAAAGGGCAAAAGCTATAGTCTTTGCAAAAGAAATCCCAATTAGCTTTGGCAGCTAACTGAGGAAAGCTAATAGGACAAGCCTGGAAGCTGGCTTTTTGGGCCCAAAATTTCATATTTCTTTTTACATGCTAAACCAAGCTGTCTTACCTTCTTTAGTGATAGTATCTGCAGTCTCTTTGGCTTTGTCTTTCAGATCTTTCATCACATTATCTACCTGGTACTCATGCTTTAGGAAGACAGGGCGGATGATGCGCTTGTAGATCAGTTCAGCTCCATTAGAAGGGCTTCGTGCCATGCACCACAACAGGAAGCCACACTGCAAATAAAAATCAGAATTAGTAACAGGAGAAAAGCAGGTACTCTGAGAATACCAAATGCTCACCACCACTCTAGGAAAGATTATTGCCTCTAGTATATTTTCCAGTGGCATAACCAATATTTTCTGTAGTATATATATATTTTATATATA